AGGATGCCATTGGCCTTCTTGGCCACCTGGGCACACTGCTGGCTCATGTTCAGCTGGCTGTCGCCCAACACCCCCAGGTCTTTTCCACCAGACAGCTTTCCATCCACATTTTCTTCCTGACTGCAATTAAATAGCCCTTCAGAGCGTGGATAGATCAGAAAAGATAGTTGCAGATATTTGGCCTGCAGTGAATCTGAGTAACTGACTTCCAGTTTTGACATGAGCCTGATTGAATAGGAATGGAGCATTCGGCACGTGGCGGATGGCACACAAAAGGGGTAGGCGGGGTGTTAAATAAGTGAGCGTGCTTTAGGGAGGCTGTGCATGCTACCCCAGGCTAGAAAAAATAATTGCAAAATGAAGTATGACCTGGACAAACAAATGGTTGTATTTGGGTATATGCAGTCAGATTCAGAAATGGAATGGGAGCAGGTAGCAGTGGTGGTGTAACCTAGGTGGAGAGTGGGCTGTTTTTACAATGTGAGAGCATTCAGTGTCTTACTATAGTTATAAATGTCACAGGAATCTTTTGCTGTTTCAGAGATGCCATGCGTTGGAGAATGGAAAGTTAGTTCTTTCTACTTGAGGGACTGCGAAACGCTGCCTAAGTTGTAGGTTTCTCAGTGCTAGCAAAGCGTTAGCTCTAGGGAACTCTGAGGAAAAACAACATGAAGTTGTTGGTTTTTTTCAGAGTCGTTCCCTGTGGTATAATTTTTAGTGCTTTGTTCCATCCCATTTTAAATCACTCCACTGCTGGAGCTTTTATTTGCCTTGTAGCTTTTCTACTAACAACTCACTGCTGGCAATTTGTTCTTAACTGCGTTTGCCAACATCACTTGTAGCTAATGCCATTCTAGACCACTGTAAAATCAGTATCTCTCCACAATCTCCATATGGTTCTAGTTATTGCAAGCTTATCTAAGGCCTCTTTAGAAATCAGCTGGCTATTCTATATATTTAATTAATCCGTAGAACAATTTCCTTGTTCTTGCTATCGTAGGAAGTCTATGAGATCAGAAGTGCATAACCTCTGCAGCAGGAGCTTGCATTAGCAGCTTGTCAGGATGCCTGGGGGCAGCACCTCATTTCCATATATATTTACACAGGATTTTAATCACAAATAGATGCACATAGTAGCATTTATTTATAGACTGCTGTAAGTATATGCAGCACTTCAGAGTACAGAATCTGCTTTGAGGGCTGCAGGGAAAGTAAAATCAATGGGGAAGCCAATCTCTCTTACTCAGCCCAGCTGCTCAAAAGTAACATTTTTTTCTCTTTCTTTAGAGGCAAACTGATTTTATATTTACCACCTATGATTTATTTGGGGAGTGGTGTGGAGATGACACTTGTTTTGTTTAATCACTGTATCTAACAATTGGCATTGGCCATCTTGTTTAAAAATAACAGTGATAATATTTGTTGTACCAGTCAGAGTGTTATTTAACAAAACAAACAAACCAGCTCACAAACTATATCCAGCAGGCTATGGCTTAGAGTTTGTCTGTACTGGGATATATCCTTGGATATATGTGCAATATTCTCCGTATTTCAGAACTGTTATTTAGGAATCGCAGTTATGGATGCACATCCATACAGTCGATTAAAAAGAAACATTTTGCAGTTTTCCTTACTCGGTTACAAAATCTTCCCATTTCAATATATCCTTGAATAAGAAAGATAGAAACTGTGTATGGCATCACCTTTTTTAAGACCACCACGTATTTTGAGAAATACCCCCAAAATATCCTTACGTTTGCTGAGTACAAATCTGCTTTTTACGTTTCTTAAAATAACAGTTACATGTACTTCTGTTATTTCTTGAATGGACATGAAGCAGCAGAAACTTCTTCACCACAGATTTTGTTGTTCTGTCACTCTAATGCCAAACAGAACAGACAGAGGGAGGGGATGAGAGGCTGGAGCACAGGTACCCGATGCCTGGCTGGGGTAGGTGCTGACTGCAGGTGCATATCGTCCTTAACACGATGGTGGGTGGACCCTGGGGAGATACATCGTGCATCAAGACTCTCATTCACCATTTCTTTAGTACTAAGAACAAAAATGCTACATTCAGGTGGAAGAAGCTAAATTTTTTTGGTGTTTAAATATCTTTATTTTTCATAAAGTAAAGTTATATCAAATATTTCAGTGCAAATGTACAAGTAAATTTTAAGAGACATTTCCAGGTGTCTCCAGATTTTTTTATTTATAATTACACATAGCAGCATTACTTACCACAACAGTGCGCTGGCATACGTTTCCAAATGGCAAACGCTTTCCCTTACCAAGGCTGATCTTGTGTTTCATAAAAAGGTCTCACAGTTTTGTTAACTCTGTAACCAGGAGCAGAAAACATAACTTTATCTGCAGATATGCTTTTTTCATACTGTGTTGTTATATAGCTGTCTCCTTAAAGTGTGCTTTTGCTAACTTATCTATTTAGGTTTTTTCCCTTTTCTCTCCTGGAGAAAGGAGCAGTTATTCCTGTAAACAGCAACGGTGTCGTGAGGGTGGACACGATGGTCCTGTGAAGAAGATACTGTTCAGAAGTAGCAGATAGGTAGGAGGAAGGGCTATGTAAGATTTTGTTCTGTTGAAAAGAAGGAAAATATAAGGCAAAGCACAGTTCTGGACTTGATATTATAAGCTAAATGGGATATTGACTGTCTTTTTCATTTTTGTTTTTAGAGTACCTGCAGCAGTGATGGTTTATGTCACTGCTGGCTCAGAAAATAGGCTATATAAGGAGAATGCAAGTGCGGTTCTGTTAAGAATTGTTCAATGGCTTCTAGGGTAATTGAGTTATTACATAACAATAATGTTATATTCATTTAATTTTCCTACTGTGATTTTTGGCCCACAGATTTAGAAAATGGAGAAAGTTATTTCAGAAATCCAGAACACCTGATGCATCAGAAGTGTAGCTTTCCCTAAGTCACAGTGAAAACTTTTTTTCCTGTGGCTATTGCAATCAAATGGATAGTTCCTCAGCCAAAATATGAACAGTAGACATAAGCAGTAGGAAAAAAAGCCTTTTGCTTTTGATGTAGTGGAAGTCCCGATTCCAGTTTAAAATTCTGTAGTCACCTACCTGTCTTTTCCATATCCAAGCACACTCCCAAACAGGAACAGAAGATGCATCACCTTGTTATGACTTCAGCAATTATTTTGTCCATTTGTCTTCAGTAACACACACAGCTACTGTCAAATCTGGTGCGATAAAAAATAGCTGTGAGGGAAATTTTATAATAGATGGCACAAAACGATCTTTTACTCCGGTTGCATTGATCTTGCAGCCACAGGATGGCAGTGTCCTTAAATACACAGGAACCGTGCGGAGGGCAAAACCGAACTGGAAGACTTCAATCCCTTCAGCAGGGAAGA